AAACGGGTTTGTAATATAACTACGGGGGATAGCTAGTACTTTAAAATTAGTTTTTTGTTTCTACTTTTGTATTTACTTCATATAAAAATTAAATAAAGTTATTGGCAGTGCCACATCGTTAAAAAAAAACTGATTTCGACTATTTTGACCATTTCGGATATCCGAAATGATCCATTTCGACTTCATGTATAACCATTATCATATGATATTAATCGTTACATTTTTGTATTTAATAAATTTAGGTCAAAATTAATTGAATCATTATTTTTAAGTTTTAAAGAAATTGTAATATTATTTAATTCTGAAAGAATATTTCTTAATATTAAAGAAGATTTATCATCAGAATTATCTTAAAAAAAGAAGTTTCATTTTCTGTATCATCCTTTTTTACTCATCAATTTTATTTTCTATCTAAAAATATATATTAATTAGTAAAATTTTAATGTATTAAAATAATATCAAATAATACTTTTGATATTTTGAAAGCATTAATCTAGCTCTTTGTGTTTAATTTTGTGAATAATACCTAAATAATATTAAAAAAAGATTATATAATTCAAATAATAAATTGTAAAATAATAAAATATATATTTATGCATTTAATCCTGCTAAAGATTAATGTAATGTTATATTTATAATAGCTTGAGAGTCTAATTCTTCATCATTTAATTTTTGTGCAGTTCATTTTGTAAAGAATAATTAATAACTTTTCTATTTGTATAATCAATACCTGTAATATTACAGATTTCTTTAACATTCCAGATAATTTATCTCGACCCAAATGTTGCATAGAATACCAATTTCCATTTTTAATATCTAAGATATATTATTAAATTAATAAATAAAATAATTAATAATAATTACAATTAATTTATCAAAAAATCTGATAATAACCTCATATAGGCTGTGTGGCTGTGTAAATGACAGGGGATAAAAAAAGTTATATCCTGGCTAATTGGAAAGTAAAATTTTATTAGAATCGGAAAAATGATCAGCCTATCGGCCGATCATTTATCCAATCTTAGTGAAATTTTACTTATCCAATTAACTAATACTTAAATAAGGTCATGGGTGATGATATATTGTACAAAATATATGAAAAATCAAAGTGATATAAAGTATCTTAATTAAAAAGAAATGCAAAAAAAAAAAATGCGTAAAAGTATTATTATCAGTTATAATCACGAATCGCAAAATCATTGGAACCTATATTTTGAAATGTAAAATATTCTTTTACAACTAAAGTGATGCGAATTTAGTATTAACGAAGAAGCCGTTCTATGGCGAACAACTATGAGGTGTATCACTTACCCTTTTCAAAGCCACCACAGTAAGGAATCAACAAAAACAAAAACAAAACTAAAGGTTCACCACAATGAAACGCTGTGTATATACAGAAAATGATGATCCCTAACTAAATCAGTTAGATCTTGAATTTTTGGAAATCATTCCATGTAAGTTTTCTAATTTTGTGTAACATTAGTTAAAAATAAAATGTCATAAATTATTCATTTTTTTTTTAACTTACTTTCTTAAATATGGAAATTACTACTATTAATCCAACTCCAAAATTACAATCCAGTCCTGTACCAATCAATTTTATTTCTTTTAAATACAAACGGGGTGATAAATGTAAATGTCTTTGTGGAAATAAATTCTCTCTAACACTATTTTGTCAACGATATTGTAAAAATTGCTTATCTGAGTATATTAGTTCTATAACTGATGATAATACGTATTTGGATGAGCTTATACAGTAGTTACAAATGATAAATATAAATATTGTAATAAATATAATAAACATGAAGTTAGGAATAAGGATTATTGCACACCAAACATTCAAAAATGGTGTGAAACTTGCTCTGATATTTTATATTTCAAACAAGTATATAGTCGAAATATGGGTATTAAGAAAATTCAACTATTTGAACTATTTGAAATTATTAAGGATTGTAAATTATGTGGGAAGTCAGTTTATCAGGAGAAATCGAAGGTAAAACCACCATTAGGTACTTATAAATTTGATCTTAAAATGTGTACGAATTGCTACAAAATTTCTTTAGAAATTGTAGAAACATCTTTAAATAAAAATCTTATTCCGATCCTTTATTTACCATAGTGGTATCAAGATAATTCTTGTAGAACTTGTGGAAGTTACTTGAAATACGAATCTGATTGTCTCAAATATTGTGAAAATCGCATAATAACTTACAATGGATGTAAATATTGTTTAACAACAAATATTATTTTCGGAATTACAAATTATTCTCAATGTAGAAAATGCAAAAGAACATCAAATATTAACTTTAATAAATTACTTATAAGAAGTGGGAACAAAAGTATAGATGAGTTTATTCAAAGTACTTCTACTAGTTATATTGCCAGTTATTTGAGTATTATCGTAAAAAAATATTATGGTTATTATGATCATTTAGATATGGCAGCGGTAAATATTCAAGATCGTAAAATATTTTCTTCGCCTTCAGGAATCAAATGGATTCCATATTCTCAAATTAGAAAAAATAGCAGAAGGGGGATTTGGCATTATTTATAAAGAAAATTATTCAGGAGATTTATTTAAATATTATAATAATAGTTCAAGTTACAGAATTAGACTTGAAACTGTTGCTATAAAAAAATTTTTTAATTCAAAGAATATTGGCCAATCTTTCATCAACGAGGTAATAATTCAATTTTTTATTTAATGTAATTTTATTTAATATTCTAAAATAATCCAAATTATATTATTAGTTAAATTCACATCATCTTTGCTATTCTGACAGTAAAGTTAATTGTGTTATGAGATGTTATGGAATTACTAAAGATCCCAAAACACATGATTGCATGTTAATAATGGATTATGCATAGTAGAAGATTTGCATAACTATTTACAAAGTAATTTTGCTAAATTAACATGAAATAAAAAATTAGGGATCTTATGGCAAATTTTGGATAGGTATACATAATACTTTATTTATTTTATTAATTATATTTTATTAATCATTTATTAATACTTAAAATGCTAATTTATTTTAATTAGACTCGAATGTGTTCATAATAAACATCTCATACATCGAGATATACATAGCGGAAACATATTATTTGTTGAAACAAATCACCCAAGTTACGTATTGCAAATTGGAGATTTTGGATTATCACAGCCCGCAAATGATAATTCACAAAATAATGTAATTTATGGAGTAATTCCTTATATTGCATCAGAAATCTTTATTGACTCTTCATTTTCAAAAGAGACTGATATTTATAGCATCAGTATGATTATTTGGGAACTTACAACAGGTTGTAAGCCTTTTGCTAACGTTGAACATGATTATAAACTTATTTATGAAATTATTGACAGAACTCAACCTGAAATTACAGAGGATACTCCAGAATGTTATGCTAATTTAATGAAAAGATGTTGGGATTCTAATACTTCAAATAGACCTTCTATTAAAGAAATCTGTAGAACTGTTGGTGACTGGTATATAAGCGGAAAAAATAAGAAGGAATTTAAACAAGCAGAAAATCAACGATTGGAATTAATAAAATTAAGGAAAATTGGTCCTGAATTATCTGAAAAACATCTAAACGCCATCTATACAAGTAGAGCATTCTCTAGATCTTCTATAAATTCACTTGTGAAGTCTCTTAATATCAAACAAGGTATGAATTATAATAAATGAATAGATAGTTAAATATTTGGTTTATCAAATACTAATTTATCTATAATATTTTTCAATTCTATGCTAGAATATATTTCGATAGAACAGGAAGATGATACTCAATGGTATAGGAATTTTTTTATTATGGTATATATTATTTTTAAATTGAATTAATATATGAATTTTATATATTACAATAGTTTGTCTTTAGCAAAAATAAATTGTAAAACTCAGGATCCAGATGCTGATTATGGTAATATATCATTTAATGGTAAAAAAGCTTTTATTGAAATACGAATCGATTAAATTTTACTAATTAAATTTTTTTTGAATTTATTCATTAGAATATATTTCTAAGGAATTAGGATTTGATATTCCATGGTATAGTAATAAATTAAATATTATAAACATTAAAAAATGAATGAATTGTAAATTAAAGCTCGGTTATCTTTATTAATGATTTTATAGCCAACCTGAAAAAAATGTAAATTTTACAACTCAAGGTGCTACTAGTCCATAAAATTCATCCATTTCATCTGCGAATTTTTCAAGAAAGCGAGATATTGAAGAATCAGAATTCAACTCTCAAGTTAATAGTAAGTAAGAATTTTTATTATACATATAACCATATAATGCTAATTGTTTGTTTTTTTGTTTTTATATGCAGGAAAACACATTAAAACTAGCGATAATATAATTTTTAAACTCTAAATTAAACTTTATAGAATGAGCCTGAATTTATTTTTAATTTACATGTTTTATTTTTATATATCTTATCAACTTTTGAAGCAATTTCTACAATCAATAAATCATTATTTTAGGAAAATTTGAAATAACGGGTTAATAAGAAACATTATCATAAATGTCAATTAAGTATTAAATTGCTTTTAATAACAGGGGTTGATTTATCTTTAATAAATTCGTGTATAAGCCATATAATAAAGCTTGTAAGATTATTTATTAGGACGGTTCACTAGATCAACCATTAAATCAAGACGTCAGACGACTGCTTGTTCTGATATAGCTTATAGTAATTTTTAATTCACATTACAACAAGTGATTCTTTTGCGTAACACCTTTCTTTTTTCAAAAAAAAAAAATTTTAAGCTTCTTTCGCTTTTTAGTTATCTCATAACAATAACATTGCCTTGACTAATCTGATGCTTTGACAGATTCAACATTTCAGAATGAATTTATCCACTATGCTCTAAGTCAGAATACAAATCTTTGAATTTCCTCGCTTATATAACCGATTTGGTATAAAATAATCCATCAAGCAACAAGTTGAAGGACTATTTAATAAATATGATCATAAAATATGCCCTATAAAAAAGTGATCCGTGTTTTATTTTCCATTTTTTTTCCGTGAAGGGCTCATTTTCATGGAACTTATAATCTTAAATCATGGAAATTTTCATTTCATTTAAACGGATTCCGTGAAAGTCTCATTTTCACGGAATTTTTACAGAAGCCACGGAGAAATAATGGAAATATTCAGGCAAAAATTTTTTATAGGGATGAATCAGAATTACAATAATCAAAACTAAGGTTTTCCGTTGGATTCTATAAATCTGGTATAAAAAACAAATAAACGTCAAGCGTTATACAACTTCCAATTTTGTAATAAATAATTTCCTGAAAAAAAATTAATCTCTTATTTTAATTAAAAAATTCGAACGAATTTAAAATATCCGCATTTTGATTTTATAACCACATAACTTTTTATATGATACTTTAAATACAGTAAGTTTTGATCGGTAGGTGTCCAGGTTGATTGGGTGATTTAGTCGACCACATGATCCAAATTTTCATCCACGGATTCCTCTAGGCTTTTACTCTGAAATTATGTTGATTTCAGCCGGAATTATACGCGATTTTTGTGATAAAATCACGCGAAAACACATCCTGGACACCCTAACGCACGTGAAGAAAATTAATTTTTGAAATCACGTGAATAACCGATTAATCAATTTCATGTGATCAAGTTATATTGTTTTTTAAAGCAAAGCAGAATTGTCTTTTAATACAAAATAAGATACGAATCTCTAATGCGTTATTTATGTAATTATTCATTTTATAACGATTTTTGTAACAATAATTTACCTTCAACTACCGTTCAAGTTTTAAATTTTATATTCATTGTAATATGTGAAAAAATCGGACGCAAGACTTAAAATTTATGAAACATTATGAATGCTGTTATTGTTTTTATTTCATTTTCTAAATACTGCACAATTCTTTATTAGTCCACTTCGAAATTCAATTGCGACCAAAAAAAATGACAGAAGCCTCAAATACCAAATTTTTTTTATAATGAAACTCGTTTATTTCGATCTTTGTCACTCATTCATGAAAACAATTTGTTATTAATTCACTTCTATTTATAAATGTCAAAAGCTATGTAATTTATTTAATCCATATCCATTGTAGACGGTCCATATTCTTTTAGTTCAATGCCCCTTGGTTCTGAATATCCATCAGTAGAGCCAGCTGTAACCATGTTAGCTTGCAGAACGTCATTAGATAAAGTGGCTATTGGATTCGCAGTAGTCATAGGCATTTGCGCTGAAATATTGGGTACAACTGGTGGTTGCCCAATGAAATTTGAAGGAAATTGTGACGGTTGTTGTGTTGATTGTGCTACAGCTTGCGCTTGCAAAGCTGCAAAAGTATTGGCGTCTATCGCTTGATTAGCGTTTGGAACGCCAAACTGTTGACCAAATTGCATTGAAGTCATGTTTGCTGGAATTTGTATAGGAAATTGTTGGTTTGGTGGTCCCGGAACACTGGATTGTTGTTGCGCTGCTTGCATCTCTTGTTGCTGGTCCGATATGTTTGTTGAATGATCATTGCGATGTTTTTGATCATTGTTAGATACTTGAGTTTGCACCTTTTGATGCTGAACCGAAGCTTGTCTTTGTGCATGTTCGTCGTGATGTCTTTGATCGTTATTGGTTACTTTGGCTTGCACCTCTTGACGCTGAACTGAAGTTTGTTTTTGTGCATGTTCGTCGTGTTTTTGGTCATTATTAGCTGCTTGAGCTTTCTTATCTTGACGCTGGTCAGAATTTTGTGTCTTTATATCTTCATCGCGATGTTTTTGATCTTGGGCTTGCACATTTTGACGATTTTCTGAAGCTTGTTTGGGTGTATTTTTGTCTTGATTTTTCGGATCATTATTTTGCTGCGGTTTTGCGGAAGATTTTTGCTCATCTGATTCGACCAATAAAATCGCTTTTCGTGGTGGACCCGATGGATTTACCAATAAAAATTCTTTTGGTTCACAATCAGGCATTTTATTTGTGTTTATTCGTAAGGAAAAAAAATAGGGCTTTTATATTTTAAAAAGATTAAATATTTATGTCATTCATTTTTAAATGAACCAATTATGATGTATTAATTATATAAAGATTAGTTAAACCATTTGTTATCCCAATTAGGTAAATAGCGATCATACCCGCCGCATTCGTTGTTATATATAAGTTTTTTTTTTTTCGAATTTACGAATTACACGATAATGAATTTCAACGATCGTATCGGAAATTATTGCGTAATTCCTAAAACATAACTAACATTAAATATCGATAAATCAAATAGTATTTATATAAATAAATATTTATTTTTTTTTTTGTTGGGAGAATATCTTAATCATTTCGCACAATAATTTTATTATTGTAATAGTTTAGTTAATATTAAATTAAGAAATGTTCTTTAAAAACTGAACTGTAGTTATAAAGAAAAATTTAAGTAATTTCATAACAAACGCGTTTATTTAATGTATAAAAATTCATGAGGGTATAGATCAAAATAAACAGCGGAAATGCCTTTCATAAGTTATGTATGTTTTCCTAGCTTGAATGGCTATGAAGTTATAAATGATTTTTTTAATAATAATCAAGACGCGTTTTTTGTTTTTAACTTTTATGACATGTTCTTGAGACTTAATCAAAGAAAATGAGCAAACAATGCTTATGTTAAATATTTCGGCGGTATTGAAATTCGTGCATATTAATTATTCATGATGACTAGCTTTAATATTCGTTAAGAAATTTTTTTGTAATGATACAAAAACATTTTTTTTATTTTTGTTACTTTTTAATAAATTATGAAATGTAATTGGCATAGATTAAAATCTTCCATTTAGTAAAAAGTGGAGTTTATAAAATTAAAGAATATTAAAAGTGTGCAAATATACATAAATGATAATTTTTTAATCCTTTTATTATTTAAAGTCGCGCAAAAGTATGTTACACGAATATACGAATTATTTTTGAACCCATCATATTTAAGAAAAAATGGCACGGTTTCAATTTTTTATTTTAAAAGAGATTTGAAATTAAAACAATGTTTACTTAAAAAAATGAAAATTAAAATTAATTATATTAGTAATTTGTAAAATGAATAGTGGCATAACCATTATCTTTACTATTATCTGGATTACAAACATACTATTAAATTTAAATAAAAAAATTTTAGATTTTATTAATTTTAAAATTTAAAGTAATCTTTTGAAAACTTTATTAAAAATAATTAATAAATTAGATAATATAGAATAACGCATTCACATCAAAAATGACTTGCGAAAGAATGCTTAGGTTCTCGAAATTCCCATAATAATCCTATTAGAAATGTTCTATCATTATTTGAATTATTTGAAATCGTTTTAATTTAAAAAAGCGAGCATTAGTTTCTATTGACACATCTCTCAAGAAATGACATTCTTAGATCACGAGCCTAAGGACGGAACCGTTATTAAAAAACAAATTTATGGAACGTTTTGCTAATCATATCAAGTTATGAACATAATAAATCATATGATCCGTAACGTTATTTTAATAGCAAACCATATGTGGAGCGTGTTCAGTGTAGTTCATACAACATGGACCGCCTAGAAGGTAATTATTTTACAAGCTTATTAAATATCAATCATTTGAAATCATTAAGCTATGGACGTGATAAACTATTGAAAAAGACCATTTTTTAATTATAACTAGCGAATGTGTTACTATTTTATAAATTAAAATTTAAGTGAATTTTATAACGCTTTAATTTACAATTGATCGCGACCAACCATTGAGGTTACTATATTATAAATAAATACGTTCAGGGAACATAATTTCTTATTATTTCAAAAAATAAAGTATGTAACTAAACTAATTTTTTTAGTTATATATGTAATTTCACATTTAGTCTTATTAGATGAATCACCAGAAATTACATTGACAGAAATAACCTATCGAAAGTAATTTTTTATTTACAAATTCCATCATAGAAATTTATAAGCAATGAAGTATTCCGGGAATAATATTCGAATATTCCTAAATGTTGCGTCGCTTCCAGAGCTCGTACGTAGACTAATCAAATGGGAACAGGACTTATGTTTCGATTTGTACTTTCGATCAGGTTTTATATAATTTCAACTTTTGAAGATTTTATGCAGCCTTATTACTGGGGAAGTCTTTGCTTTCGGGGTCAAAAGTGTCATCAACAACGGTTCATTCTGTAGTTGCACAAACGATTTATCAAGAGCATGTAACTGTTTCTTAAATTTTATTCTTTATTATACCTTTCTTGGAAATAAAATTACATTTATTCTATTTATTCTAGGACTTATTATCAATTTATTCTATTAAAACAATTTTACGATTATTAGGAATCTTCTAATCTTTATGAACAAAGATTAATCCGGTTTGATGGAATTTTGTGTATAAATATTAATTATAGGTTAAATTTTTATATTAAGTTTTATTGATCAAATTTAACATGAAAATACTTCAAAACTTTAAATTATAACGCTTCTGCGCCACATAGAAATGTATTAACTCTTTTGTTGCCGAATGATTACATAGTTTATAAAAATCAAGAATTGTATTCTTATTGAATTCTATTATCAGTATATATTTAAAAAAAAACATAATTTATCACAATATTGACAAGTGTAATTATATATTTTTGTCATAATTTTAAAGTATTTCTTTAAATAATTTTCATATATGGGTAGTATTCTATTAAAATTGAGGTACGGATCATATGATTTACTATGTCTCGTAACCCACTTTTAATAGATCAGCTCCTATATTGTCTAATAATTAAAAGTTAATGTGATTATATAAGAATGAATACGAAAACTTTTATGAAATGTGATTCAGTTATTGTTAATTTTTTTCAATCTTCTTATAAATGATTCTTTAATAAATAAATTTTATTTTATAATGAAAATAGTAAATAATAAAGTAATAAATAATAACAATTATAACAATAATCCGCATAAATATAATGATCAAAAAAATATACATCTAATTGTCATTTTGATTTCAAATAAAATCTAACGAATTTATATATTTAATCCCTTCAAATGTTGCAAATTCACTAACTTCATCAGCAGTTTTAATATGATGTCTAAATTATTTTTTTTGGAAAATATAGTAATATCGCTATTTAATTTATATATTGTATAATCATTATAATTAGACATTAATAAACCTTTGCTTACTGTTAACTTGAGATTTAGATTCCAATTCTTCAATGTTACGTTTCCTTAGATTTTCAGAAATACCCATAATTACATTTTGATGTTGAATTTTCACTTATTGTAGGTGGGCTATATATATATATAATCGTTAAAAAGATATAAGAAATTCAATATTAAATAGTTTCATTATATTATTTAAATATTATCTCGATACCTTAAATATCAAATTCATTTGCTTTTGAAATATATTCTAAATCAAATCAAATCAAATTTAGTGAGATACCTATTTATTTGATCTTCTATAAGGTCTTATGTTTAATTTTTACTTACTATGTGTATTTAATGATATACTGGCATATGGAAACTGAGTATTGGAAGACTGACAACTAAAATATGAACCATAATGACACATTATTAAATATCAAAATAAATTCTTTCACTAGCATCAACACAATACCTATTATCATATAATTCAAATTCCAATTTTTTCGAAATATTTCCTAAGCAATAAAATGGAAAAGTAATATATTTAATTTATTATTTAAAGCTTACTAGATTTATAATTTAAACACAAATAACACATACCCTTCATGGATGAAATTTTAGAAATTAAGGAACCTAATTCTCTACTTGTATAAATTGCTTTTGGGTGCATTATAGCAAATTTAGGACCAAGTTTCTCTAATTTTATTAATTCTAACCGTTTTAAATCGGCTTTATTAAATTGTTCACTATTTGTTTTTTTATGATACCAATTACCAACAGTCCTACGAACTTCTATTATGGATGGTCTTTTTGAAGGATCAGAATTCCAACACCGTTTCATTAAATTAGCATAACATTCAGGAGTATCCTCTGTAATTTCAGGTCGTTTTCCATCAATAATTTCAATAATAAGTTCAGTATTATGTTCAACGTTAGCAAAAGGTTTAAAACCTGTTGTAAATTCCCACATAATCATTCCTAAACTATAGATATCAGAAGCTTTTGAAAATGAATCACCATTAAATATTTCAGGCGCAATATAAGGAACTACTCCATATATTTCATTATTTGATGTGTCATTTGCAGGTTGTGATAATCCTAAATCTCCAATTTGCCATTGATATATTGATGCAATGCATATGTTTTAACAAATAATATGTTACCACTATGAAAATCTCTATGCATAAGTTCTTTTTTGTGAACGGTTTCTAGTCTAATCACAAAAATGTATTAGTATTATGTTTAAACAAAATTAAAATAAGAGACGTTTGTTATTATTAATAAATTATGTATCATCTCATATAACGTTTAAAGATATACACATACCCATATAAAATTTGCCATAAAATATTTAATATTTTATTTGAATTTTTTTTATTCCATGTTAATTCTGTAAAATTCCTTCGTAAATAATTATGTAAATCACCTCCTGAAGCATAATTCATTACTAACATATAATCATTTGACACGGGATGTTTTGTAATTCCGTGACATTTCATAACACGAACAACGTTTTTATCTGAACAACAATTATGATGCGAACTTAACTAAAATTAACAAATTTGATTATTAAATAAATTACATTTCAGATGTGAAAATATTGAATAATTAGAATAATTACCTCATTTATGAAATATTTACTAAATTCATTTGAATTGGAAATCCTTTTTATTACCACAATATGTTCTTTCTTGACAATTATATTTTTATTACGATAGTTAGGTATACCGTCTAAATAATTTGCTTTATAAATAATGCCAAATCCTCCTATTGCTATTTTTTCTAAATTGGTGAATTGAGAATATGGGATCCATTTAATTATCGAACGTGAACGAACAAATTTTTCTGTAAATAATTTATAAATGCTTAATAGATCAGAATCATTCATATAATTAGTAATCAAATCATCTTTAACTTTAAATTTCGTATTTTGAATGAACTCATCAATTTGATAATTCCCAGAGCTTATAAGTGTTGTATCAATATTATTAAATAACATTCTTTGGCATTTTTTACATTGCGATTGATCAGCAATTCCAAAAATAATATTGGTCGTCAAACAATATTTACATCCATTATAATTTATATGGCAAAATGAACACCATTTCTGACAATTCGACATAAATTCGAGTGACTTTTTACAAATCCTACAATTATATTTACTATTATCCCACCACGGTAAATATAGAATTGGAATAAGTTTCTTAGTTAAAGTTGATTTTACTTGATCGGAAGAAATTGCATAACAATTTGATCATATCTTGAACTTATTCAAAACAAATGAGCTCTTCTTCTGATAAATTAATTTCCCACATAATTTACAATCCCTGTTACCTTCTAATATTTTTAATTCTTTTTCAACCATATAATTGGAACTTTCTGTATATATTTGTTTGAAATATAAAATATCGGAACAAAGTTCACACCATTCTTGAATATAACGCGTGCAAAAATCTGCATTTCTAGTTGCTTCATGTTCATTACATTTGGCGTTATTTCTAACAATAAGTACATCCAAATACGTATTATTATCAGTTATAAGACCAATATAATCGGTTAAGCACTTTCTACAATATGCCTGGTCAAACAAGCGTGTTAAAGAATATTCATTTCCACAATGACATTTTCTACTTAATGGGTTTTTAGAACTATTAAAAGTAATAAACGTAATCGGAACTGGGCTGGATGTTAAATTTGGAGTTGGATCTTCGGTATCCGTAATTGTAAGTGCCATTTTTTTTCATGAAATTATGTAATTTTGAATAGAATAACTCGCAATATTTATCGAAAAAATTTTATGATTTTTTTTTTATGGAACTCTTCGTAGAATTTCTATCTTTAGAATTCTAGAAATAAATATTTTGATTCCAAGAATTTCTTAATAACAAATTATTTGTATTGTGTCCATATTTTGAGAGTACAGGAAGATGAGCGACAAATGTTTATGTTTTTTTGTACTATATCTTTAAAATATATGAGTAATTTAAATAGGTGGCATAGGAATCTTTTGAAAAAAATTTTTTTTTTTTTTTTTTTTTTTGTTTAATGATATATTTACTATAAAAATATTATTTAAAATACTAGGGAACGGTTTCGGAAACCGCTGTTAAGTCCGGAGCATAAGTAACGGAAATATTGACAATTTGTGAGCGGCCGGACATCCGGCTTGTGTAATCAACAAGTAAAAAAAAAAATTGGTAATTTGAAGAACTATCAATTATTATCGTGTTCCTGCATAAAAAAAAAAAAATCCGTGAAAAAAATAAATTTGATTTGTTAAAGATCAATTTCGTGTTCCGGTAACTGGCCAAAATTTAAATTTTGCTATTACTTTCTACAATGCTATAAATCTCTGTAATCGCAGATATTACTATGAATTTCATACATCGCTAAATAAAATACACAAATGTAATTATCAATTATTTATACTAATATAAATAAAATTTTACAACTTGAACTCTGAACTTACCGTATATCGCTGACTACACCCTTGAAAAGTATTAGGTCGCAAAATGTTAAATTTTGAATAAGATCCGGATACTAATCAACTTTAATTAAAATTTGCATAACAATTGAGTACCTTTATTTGAAACGAAAATGATTTTGAATTTCACCACCCCTACTTCAGACCGCTTTAAAAAATAATTTTTATTCTTTTTTAAAATGTTTGTTTAATGTACTCCACTTAAATAATACTCCCCCCCCCAATGTACTCCCAGGTACGCAAAAGTATTGATCTTGATAGACTTGTGGTATGCTTTTCTTGATAGACAAACTTGATATGTGTAAATTTAATTAGATCAGTAACATAACCTTTTTAAAGAACATTTCGCTCTGAATTTAAATATACATAATAAGTTTTAAGTAATTGACGTGTTCCTTATGCGCGAAATAATATAAATACGCGTGAAGATTTTTATTTATAAAAAATCCTTTACATGTATTTTGTATACCAGAAGATATTCTAAGTTTGTATTACGTTATTGATTTATACCAAATTTCAGTTTCACAAAAATTTCAATCTCACAGAAATGTCATCAAACAAATATTAACACATTTTTTTTTGAAGTTAAATGTTTAGAATTTGACTCAAATTTCTTTTATTCAATTTCTGGTACTGGTCTTTAAATATCTTTTTTACTTGTTTTTTCTAAGGCTATAATAAAAAATGGATAAAATTAATGTTATTTATTAATTGTTTATGTTTATGGAAAAATTACTTAAAGTTTCCTAAACGAACTTCAGAACCATCAAATTGCTGATTATATGAATAACGTGGCAACATATACTAATCCATTAAATGATTATGAATTTATTCGAAGTTTTCAGACACCCCAACATTTAGTAATGGAATGGATTCTATCTTCTCGAATAGCAAACTTTAAAAAAAATAACAAAAGGAGGGTTCGGTACTATTTTGGTTAGACGGTGTATCTAAATATAATAATCGAAAATCAACCGACCGATTCAAACAGTTACAATAAAACTGCTGCTATAAAATTTTTAAATTCAAAGGATATTAGCAAATATTTTCTAAATGAGTTAATTATATGATATTTTTATATTAAATGTTTAATAATTTTTGCCAATATATATTATCACATCATCCTTTTCATTTATGATGCTTCAGGTTTCTCTAAAAGTATTCAAATAAGTCATATTAACCATTATATTTAATATATTATATTACTAAAAGTTTAGTATTAAAGTTATATAATATTTTAGAAAGAATTTAACTGACTATGAAAATTGTTGTAAAGCCACAAATTTTGGGTGAAACTTGATATTTTTTAGAATAAATTCTTTAACTATTTAAGAATCTAAGACTGAAATAAGCAAGAAAAATTTTAAATAAGCAATAAAGTTATCATTAAATAAAGTAATTAATTTTTTTTATAAATTATATATTTATTTAAAACTTTTAACAATAATTATAAACAAAATAGTATATATAAATGATAATTGAATCTATTAGCAATTGTAAATGAATAATTAATTGAATTGTACAAAAACACCAAAATAGTTTATTTCAAATTTCAATTGATTAATTGCAAAGTTAATAAGTCTTTACCCAAATAAGGCTAGTCCTGATCGATGAATTTTGTTAACAATCATCTGACATGTAGATCATCAATATTTTTCATATTTGCGTAACAAAAATGTAACTTTTTTTTTTTCGCTTGTTAAAATAGTTTTTTATTTTAAACTGTACTTTTTTTATTCAAAAAGTTTCGTTATTTACATTCTTTATTCAAAATTAACAAATCTTTTTGTTATTTTATAATATATTTATTTTGTTATTCATTGATTAATATAACCGAAAATTATTATATTTTTTTAGCTTGGTTAAAGTTTTT